TTAATGGCCCAAATCCTTGTCATAGTGTCGAGGGAGAGGTGGATGTTGTTAAACAGCCCTCTTCAGAGATACCACTGAAGTAGGCTCTATGTCTTGAGATGCTAAAGCAAGATACCTTTTTTCTGAAGTTTTTTTTCTGAAGCTTTTATCTGAAGTTTTCTCCTTTTGTCTTTGAGCAATTACTGATCTTGGCCCACAGATTCTTCTTAATTATATTTTTTCACATTGCTTCCCAGTACCTGTTCGGCTTTATCCAGGGCAGCAGTTAGGACATTAATGTGCAGAGGTACTAAGCTGGGGAGGGATTTGCATTAGGAAATGGCTTTAGACAGGCCCATCAGTTTCCCTCTTGCATGGGGAAACTTCTGCACATCGGCAAACAGCTCAGCAGTGTGTCAGCGAGTGCAGGGGAGCAGCAGCAGTGCTGTGCCGGGTCTGTACCATTTGCCTCTGTGATGGGACACAAAGCCCCAGCGCTGCCGTAAGGCAGCAGCAGTGGGAGAGTGGCTGGATAGGCCAAACAGCAGTGCCAGGGTGCTGGGAATCACCAGGAGAGGAACCAGGGAAAGGCCCCGGGCGCACCTAGCACCAGGCGTTGTGGATTGCAGGTGCCTGCAAGTGAGGGAGGAGCCCAGGACCCGTCCCTGGGCCTGGTGATGTGCGGTGGGACCCGTTCCCCTGACACTTCTCAGCTGCTTTCAGGAACTAGCTGTCGCAGCAGAGATGGAGAACAGAGATAGTGGAGGAAATGGATGTGGCAGACCAACAGAATTTCTTGGTAACCTCAGGCTGATGGCACGACTCAGGTTTCTGGGTGGGTGAGCAGAAGATGCACTGTGAGTGCATCTGCATACATGACCAACAGCAAAGTGTTGGTAGGTGGTGCATAGGGATGCGAGGCTTTCTGATCTGCGTGAGCTGATCATATTGAATACAGTCTATAAATCTAAAGTTTGCCGTGCGTCAGAGGCTCCTACCCATGTCTGACTTTGCGTCTGTTCTGAACAAGTAGGTCTTAAACACTCAGCAGATGTTTTATCGCTACTTATAAGCTACTTACGGAAGCACTCTTTTTTAGAAAAGACTAGAGCCGAGTTCCGTTTTACTGCCCCTTTTGCCTGTAATCCTCTATTTGCATCTTGTTTGGGCTGCACTTGTTGGACCAGTACGTGTGTTGGAGAAAGCAAAGGCTGTTAAACCCATTTATTAGCAGTTGCTTTCTAAGCCTCAGGTTGCTATTTATTTGCTATTTTTAAAAAAGTACAGCAAGCTGGACAGTTTTCTTCTTTTTTCTAACTCAGTGATGAAAACACCAGAGCTATTCATACCATTTTTAATGACTGTTAATGTGCCTCTCACTTTACTGGCTTGATCACCCTGGTGTGAAGAAGCAGCAATCAAATCACAACGTGCCACTGGAATAACAAGCAAGTAGTGGAACAATTGCCAATAATGACATATTTGTGGATAAATTCTGTCAGATAAGTTTGGAGAATAATATCAGGGTCATTAATTGAAATTTGTGAGTCCCATCAAGATGACCCAGCCAGTTTATCAAATCTTGAAGGCGAAGATCCAACTGCTGTGCCTAAGCAGTCAAGCATCTGAGTGGTGGCAGGGACTCCCTTCGGCTGTCACAGATTTATCAGCAAAGTGGACCAAACACTTGTTCTCCTGGGCTACAACTGCTTAAGAGAGAAATTGTCAGTGTTAGGTAATCCCCACACAAAGAGCAATCCTTTACGGAAGAGAAATGCTAGGTATGCCTTGGGGGCTGTCACTGGTTCTTCTTTCAGCGATGTCCAGCTCCCAGTCATAGAAAAATGCTGAGACAGTTGAATAACTTTAGACAAGCTTTTCAAGTGGGATGAGCACAGACTTTTTGCTCTAAATTTAAAATTTCCTGTTCTTCGTGTATCCCAAATGGTCTGAATGTTTACAGAGGAAACAAAAAAAAAAAAAAAAAAAAAAGGATCATGTGAGGCCATTGGATGGAGGAGTGGACATAAAGGATCTTACAGGTTCTGGAAGTGCTCTCTGCAGGATAGGAGGGCTTTGTTTCTCTTTTTTACTGGCACATTTTAATTCTTTGCAGCTTTGTCTGAAAGAGTTGGTATCTGTTACTGCTGTCCTTATTTTGCATGCTTTTGTCCTCTATGAACTCAGACCTTCCCTCCACAAACCTCTGACCAGGTTGGTCACACCTTGGTGCATCGCAGTAAGGGATGCACAGGCTTGCAATACACAGATTTTCAGGTTTTCAGCTGACCCTCTGTTTTTCAGTGGATGTGGTTGATGTGCTGTGGGTTGATGTGCTTAATGGCGGGGAGATTGATCTCTTTTAGCCTGCAGGCCTGGCAATTGCTCTGATCACTCACCCTGGCCTTCCTGCTCAGCACAGGACGTGGAGCCATGCCTAGTAGGCCCTGAAGGAAAAACAGTATCATGTGGCTAAGCTACAGACCCTTCTCCTAAGAGAAGTTTGGGATACCTTTTTGAAGTCTCCAAGCTGTGGAGAAACCACCCTATCAGCTGCTCCCGTGCTAAATACCCTTCATGTCAGGAACATGCAGCTAATTTCTGGTTTGAATGGCTCTCACCCCAAATTCCAATCACCAAAAATCATTACTCTTCCATCTGCTGATGAAGAGAGCCTTCCAGCTGATCCCCATCTTGGTAAAAGTACAGACTGACTGAGTGGCCACCCACTAGTGCCTTTGCTCAGCTAAGTAAAGGTTCTTCAGTTTCTTGCTCCAGATGAAAGTTTTCCAGGCCTTAGGAAATCTCATCTTCATGACCTTCCTCCAGGTTCTCCACCTCTTTTTTTTATTTTTTAAGGCTAATCTGAAGGTCTCCGAGAAGTTTCAGCTATTCTTAGGAAAACTTCTTCGTACAGGTTAGCCCATGCATGGATTTTAAGAGCATTTTAACATAAGCAATTGCTGCTTTTATCTTTTCTTACTTTCTGCCAGATCAAAGTTTGTTTATTTATCATTGATTTTGTTTCCAGACACAGAAGACAAATGCTTAATGAGCATTTTTACCTCTTCTGCATCATTGCTGATAATTCATACCATCCCTGCCTAATAACAATTCTGTACCATGTGTACAATTTCTTCTGTTCCTAAGAGGTGTAAAATATTCTTATTGTCCTTGTCCCACTGTCCTTAAATTTTCTACCTTTAGCTTCCCATATCGCTTTGGATGAACAGTTAATTCATTGTTACCAATTTTTTCCCCTTTCCATCAAATACATTGGCTCAAGCAGCAGGGAGGCTTAATAAGTTATATACTCCAAACCCAAATAGGGCTGCCCCATGGTCAACACTCAGCAGACCTCTAACAAACACCTCTTCGCTGTGCACTCAAATGGACAAAACTAGGCAGCAGCTGCTGCAGGGCCCCTGGGAAAGTTCCTCAAGCTGTGCTCCTCGTCCAGTCCTCCTCATGTGCTTCCGAATGTACACACACACCCCCCAGCCCATAGCCTCTGTGTTACACAGGCATGTACAAACTCTGCAGACACCCCCGTTCCTCCACGCAGTTTGGCCTAGAGTCCAAGGTTTCTTTGGGAAAGGTTTTTTGCTATGCTTTGGGGTTGTTTTCCCCCCTTTCAGTTTTTAACTAAAGGTCTGTCTCTTCAGCTTGTGACAAGAGACGAGACTTGACTTTCTCCATCCCTTTCTCTGTCAGCCTTTTAGCCCTGAAGAAGGACGAGGCAGTGATGATCCTGTGCTATGCAATGCTGGAAGGAAACTGTCTCTCGTCGGTGGTCACCCAGGCCTGGAAGGAGATGGAAGAAAGAGTCCTTGGGTTCGGAGATTCGGTAAAGATGCTGATGTCCACCTTTGACACCCACTGTGTGCAGGGCTCCCTGCAGTGCTGACCACGGCCAGAGCTCGTCAGCACTGTCCTTTCAGGTGCCACCTCCTGGGAGAAGCTGACCTGGGTGACCAGGGAGGCAAGCTCCAAGTCAGGGATCTGGGAGCTCCTCAGTCTCCTTTTCCCACTGTGACCTCCCCGTTGCATCCACCGTAGGTGTGTGACAGCCTTGGGCGGCATCACATGGACCTGTGCCCTAACTGCGCTTTCTGCTCGCTGAAGAGGGAGCAGTGTCCAAACATCAAAAACCTGAACCGTGTTCACTGTGAGACAGGCAGCTTCACCACCTACATCAACCCTCAGATCTCAGCCCAGTACCAGGCTGCAGGCAACAAGGTACCCAGCGTGCTGCATCTCCAGCCGGCCTCTGAGGAGCAGCCTGGACTGGGTGGTGAGGAAGGGGAGGAAGAAGCATAGCTCTCTTTATCCCACCCCTTTGCAGACCAGCTCCCCAGAGACCTCGGAGTACTATGGCATGGAGGTTTTCAGAGGGCTGAGGGCGGAGTACTGGTGCAGCCGGATGGCCATCCGTGGCTGTGAGGACCCTCGTGTGACCCTCTGGCTGAAGGCAGAGTACACTGCCTTCCAAGACAGAGATGCCCCGAGCCAGGTGGGCGTCCAGTGGGTGCTCCCATCCCTCCTTCTCCTCTTCTTTCTCTGGCCTTCATTCCCATCTCCCCAGATCTGTGACTCGGGTGGAGTTCAGCACCCCAGCTACTGTGCGTTCAAGAGCCACCAGTGTCTGCAGCAGAGCCTCTACAACCAGAAGGTGAGAAGCAGCCTGCACTGCCCTTTACACAGCTTTCTCCTCCATGGCTGGTCCCTCCACAGCCAGCCCCGAGTCCCCGCAGGACTCACTGGCCCACTGCTTGTCGCTCTAGTAGGTCACACTTGGGTGTGTTTGAGGGCGTGACAAATACTGACCCAAGCACAGCTGGCATGTAATCGAGGCAGTGGGATTTGCACAGACACTGTAAGAGATGTCAGCGGAGACAGACGCTAATGTTGAGACAGAGGAGCTGTGGGGAGCCTCCCACCCGTCGGGGTATCCCTGTATATCCCTGCAGGGGAGGCTCTCCACCATCTACTGGGTGCTTCCTAGGTGGTAACAAAAACCAGAAACACCAGAGCAGGACAGAGGACTAGCCCGTATCTTAGGAAACATACAGTTCAGCTATCATCCGCTCCCTCCTGCTTCCCAGCTGGTTCTCCCCTCTTCCCTCTGGTGCCCCCATCATCCCAGCCTCCAGATGTTTTTCCCTGAGGGAAGGATGGGCAGTGGTATCAGTCCTATGAACTCAGGCTCTCCTTGCAGGTGTCTCGCCGTGGCTGCTACAGAAACGAGACGTACCGGGTGCTGAGTGAGAAGGAGGGAGGGGAGGAGGTGCAGCTGTGGCACCAGATGTTCCTCAGCCTCACCAAGGGGTGATGTATGGTAGTGGGGGAATGCGTGGGAAGCACAGGGCTCCAGAGCAGGCTCTCTGGGGCTGTGGTGGGGCAGAGAGCCTGGATAGACTTGGACAGCTCTTCCCAGACCCCTTGCTGTCCAGCCAGTTCATCATGGCCAGATGTCCCGCTCCAAGCACCTACTCTTCACTTTCGGCAGTGGCCCACCAGGAGGGGAGCCTCACTCAAGTGTGTTTCACTGTGGCGCCTGCTGGAACTCCTCCTGAAAACATTTTCTCCAGCCAAAGGAGCAGCTGAGCATCAGAGAAGGCATCAGCCCTAGGAACCTGAATTTAAAGCCACTGGCCCAAGTGTGCTTGTCTGAAGTCCCCAGCCATCTCTTGCCTCCCTCCCCATGCAGGCCTATACCAGTCAGTAGTTCTCCCAAGGATGAGTCTTATTGTATAAAAAGAGCCCATTCGCCCCACAAACCTAATTTGCTCCCTTCTTTCTGCTGCTGCCGCTCTATTACTCCGCTCAGTGACCCCTCTCATGTCCAAGGTGGGTGCCTGCTCCCCCTTGCTCCACTCCCTGGTGCTTCTCGCTCGCTGCAGCCCATGTGGCTGCTGAGCACAAGGACTCTAGTGTGGCCTCATCCCCTCCCAGCCCATGGGAGGGAGCAGAGCCAGGTACCCTGCAGGTCCCAAATGCAGCACGTGAGGAAGGAGCTGACGTACGCACTTTGCTTTCCATTGCAGCTGGTTTATTTCTAAAGTTTAAGGGTTTATTGGGCCTGCATCCTCCAACCCTCCATCTGGAAAAATAATTCAAACCACAAAAAGCCCAATGAGGCTGGCGAGAGGGTACTGGGTGGGGAGCAGACAGGAGCTGATGGCACCCCCGGAGCCAGGGCTGCTCTCCGGCAGGGCAGCAAAACCCCACCCCTCCTCCTCTGCTCCCTCTCAGGCTGTGTGTCTCCCGCACACCTTCCTCTGCTTCCCCGTGTCCCTCCCCGGGCTGTCCTCTCCCCGGCTGCCTTGCAGTCCCTCAGCAGCCTTCCACCACCCCCTCAGCGGCAGCTGTGCACCTCCACTAGGTGCCGGCACTGCTTGCACTTGACGGAGCAGCACCAGCGAAACTTGCAGCTGCACCG